GACCAATGTAATTTGGTGATGCGGGAAGCACGATATCTTCCAGAGTAACTCCATTTAATCTCATTCTTTCAACATTTAATTTCATTCCTTCCAACACTCTTACCAGAGCTGGTTTCTTAGCTGAGTAACAGCATTGTCTACTCTTGCGCTCTCTCACTCTCTCTCCACCCAAGGCTTCAAGTTATGTTGTTCATGGCAATGTTGCCTTAAGCAATACTGACTCCCACATGCTCCTGCTCTTGGGCCAGCAGAACACTTCTTAGAACAGCCTGAGGCTAACGTGAAGTCCTTCAGCTGAGGAGCTGTCGAGAGATGTCTCCACCAGGGAGAAGATAGGTGGAACCAATTTTTCAAAGCAGGTCAGAGCAAGAAATGTCAGGAAGCAACAAAAAAGAAGATTCTGAATCCTTTTTTTATGTAGAAGTCCTCCTTCTCACAGCTGAAGCTGGCCGGAAGATTTCTGCTTCCTGGCATAGCTGGTTAAAAAAATAAAAATCTAAGTATGAAGTCTGTTTGAGTATATATGTAATACATGTTCTAATGAGATTCTAGTTTATTACTTGCCTTAACTTTACCAAACTCTTCACTAAAAACAGTAATAAAAAGTAATAATAACCATGGTAATAACCACATGTTTTAGTCTTAGGCACCAATCTGTAACTTACAAATATGGGTATTAACATCTCAATTTCAAGTGTTTACTGAATTTCATAAGTTCTGTTTCAGAGCTGTATGAATCCCCCAGTTTGCCTTTCTGGCAATTATCTAAAAAAACATCCTATGGCAAATTATTTTAAAGGGTGTTTAGGGTATTTTTTCTTGAAGCTTTGATTTAATGAGATTCAGAAGCATGTTGAAGTTATGCACAAGTTAAATATTGTATTGAAGGAGGATGGACCTAAATAGGTGTTAAAAAGCCATCTTGAATCAGCACCCATGGCCCATAAAAGGGAAGGGAAATTGTGCCATCCTCTCCTCCAGCTCCCCACATCTTTGAGGAGCAGTGCAGAGCGGGTCAGGTCAGGTCAGGCAGAGGGACCAGCGCCCTCGCTCTGTGATATAACAAGATAATTTATTAATAACCCAAGGAACAGAGGAACCCCCATGCCACAGAGAGGGCCAAGAAGTCCAACAGCTCCTGCCAAATCTGATCAACATGAGAAAAGTTCCCTCCCAGTCCCAAGCTGGGCCATGGGTTTACCCATGGGTGTCTGACCAGGACACACCAACTGAGCTCCTCAAACACATGGATGCCTGTATCCTCCAACCATCAGTGTCTACATGACCTGCCTCCAGTGTTGCACACCGGGATGTGTCTGGAGGATCCACTTCACTCGGCTCCCACAGATGCTCTGGGATGCCCCTGAACTGGAACATTTCAAAAGTGTAGCTGGTAGAAGGATGGGATCTACTAACTTCATCTTTCTAAGCAGGTATGGATAGCAGACTTTAATTTAGCATATGTGCAGAAGCCTTTTGCATTTTTTGGAGCCAAAACAGAATCAAAACAGACTTTTGTGTCCTCAGGAGAATAAAAAACAAGTGAACAAACAGTGTAAGAAGCAAACAGAAATGCTAGCTTGTAGATGACTTGCTTGGTTAGTAATTTTCAATAGCTGCAACACAAGTGATGATCCAAGAAGACACTGGATCAAGTGGAGTGGTCAGTGGGAAGTGCTGAGGAGCTGATACACCGCATGGACAGCACACACTTGTGAACCACAGGGCACTGAAAAAATTGCTTTCCTCAGTCGTAGGGGTTGTAACCTGGACTTTGTTGACAGCCAAAAATGTAAGAGGGTCTAGGGTGACTCAGAAGCTCCAAAGCACAGTGTTGGGACCCAAAGAGGGCTACCAAACCAATGAAGCACATGTACGTTTTTGCTGGACCATCAAAACTATTACCTGTTTAAAGTTTTTGCTTTTTTTTTTTGTGGAACCCTGAATTAGGAGTCAGAAGCAGTGTAAATTTATTGCACATGAAAAGTAATCCAGTCTTCCTTCAGCCTGTCCTGGGTACTAACACTTCAGCTGCCCTAAGATTTAGACTCTCACAAGTATGATTTCTTATCTCCAGGGCACTAGAGGAAGACAACAAGGTGAGACCAATGGACTCAAATATCTCTTAGAAATCAAACAACTTTTGAAGTAGAGACCCAGAAGTAAAACAAAATGTACTTTTGGTTCAGGGTTTTTCTCTATACTATTTTTTTTTCTTTTCATTGTGGTCCCTCGTTTCCCCACCCAGACAAAATGCAGCTATGACAACATGGAAATCCCCTGAGCGGCACAGCTCTGATAGTAAGATTGTTCAGGTTCGACCAAAATATTATGTCTGAAAAGTCTTTTTCTTTTAGTTTGCTCCAGCTAAAACAGGAAAAAAGAAAAAAAAAAGATCAAAGTGATAGCCCACTCAATTATAAACAAGACAAATTTAAAGTGAGAAGGTGTCATTTCTGGATAGTGATCAGTTTGCACAGGAGAGCCCTCCTTTATTGATATTTCTGGCTGAAAATGAGGTAGAAATTAGCCTGAGGGTTTCTAGAATTATATGATATTGACTATTATTAAGCCAGGTGCTGAAATCCTTAAATAAACTTTTCTAAAGCAAGCCAGGGGTAGGCCTTAGGGATGTGAAGTCACCAGAACCCAATCTCATTGATTCAAGTTTGGCTTCAATAAGCTTGAGTGAAGCATAGGAAACTCAGGAGGGAGAGATGAGGGCTAACTACTCCTGAAGTCCCACCAGCTGACTCAGACCTCTGAAGGAGGATATTTCTTGAAGGGATATCATGTGAATGGGGCAGTCACCCAAATAATTCTGTAAGTGAAGTCAAGCTCTTGAGTGAGGGTCAGTGAGGCCATGGTGCTGCCGGACCTAGTGCCATGTCCAGCTCCTGCTCTGCTTTGTATGGGTGGTTGCTGAAGCCCGGGAGGTCCCTCTCCTGTTTGTGGGTGGGAGGTATCGTAGAGGTCTGCCAAGCAGACATCTACCCCCCACCTCACCTTGGGCTTTTTTTTAATTCAATGGAGATAAATAAATGTATGTAGGGGTTTAGATTTCATCTTTTGAATGTCTATGTTAGGATAAGATGAATCATGCTCTCCGCTGGCTAGATAGGAGCGAAGCACGAAAAGCTCTGACATAGGAGTATACACTATAAATACCTACATATTGACCAGTGAATCCAAACCCATTTTTCTGTATCTACCTAGGCTTAGTGTACCTTCAGGGAACGCTTTGGTGGGGAGCCTCAGGGTCCTACCATAAGGAGGGACTTGACACAGGTATGGGAGATGTCCACCTTCCAGGCACCCTTGCTGAGCTTTCATGGAAAGGGGGCCATTTCTTCCCATTAAAACAGGATAGGGGAGGCCAGAAACACCCCCTTGGCTACCTACTGCCCTCTGCTCAGGGCAGCAAGTGATGCTGGAGGACAGTCCCTGATGTCCTGGCAAGAAGAACACTTTTCTAGACACGAGGGCTGAGCTTTCATAATTCTGGTGAGTGGTTTAAATTATTTCCTTGCAAATGAAAAAGCTGCTGTGGCTTCCATATTGAGTCTCCTTATTATAGTGTCATCATTTTTCTGTTTGCTTGGGCATTGTTACCAACTTTGCCCTCGGTTTCCTTTACGCCTCCGACATAAAGCTTTTTTGGTGCAGCCGGGGCTGTGCCAGAGCTTGCTCTTCTCTTTCAGGTCTTCAGCTCACTTGTAGTTAGCCACATCAGTCAGCCGTGTACACAGCCCTGCATTACGCTCTACTGTGCGTTGGTGTATACAGCCACAGAAAGTGTGTGAAGGAAATATTTAACACCTCTTTATCTTCCGCTTTCTGCCTCTGCTTTGTCCAAAGCCTGAAAAAATGTGAGATGTACCACTTTGTTCTCAGAGCTAGGTTTTGCAGGATTAGTCTTTTAAATCACAGCTTTTCTGGGTCAGCATTGCTTTATGTGGGACTTCACAGAATCACAAAATGGTTTGGAAGGGACCTTTGAAGATCATCTAGTCCAACCCCCATGTGGTGGGCAGGGACATCTTCAACTAGATCAGGTTGCTCAAAGCCCTGTCCAGCCTGTCCTTGAACAATTCCAGTGATGGGGCATCCACAATTTCTCTGGGCAACCTGTTCCAGTGCCTCACCACCCTCATCGTAAAAAATTTCTTCCCTATGTCCAATCTAAATCTACCCTCTTTCAGTTTAAAACTGTTGCTCCTTGTCCTGTCACTACAGGCCCTGGTAAAACATCTCTCTCCATGTTTCTTCTAAGTGCCCTTTATATATTGAAAGGCCACAATAAGTCTCCCCAGAGCCTTCTCTTCTCCAGGCTGAACAGTCCCAACTCTCTCAGCCTGTCCTCACAGGAGAGGTGTTCCAGCCCTCTTTGTGGCCCTCCTCTGGACCCGCTCCAACAGGTCCGTGTCTTTCCTGTGCTGAGGACTCCAGAGCTGGATGCAGTACTCCAGGTGGGGTCTCATGAAGGTGGAGTAGAGGGGGAGAATCACCGCCCTCGACCTGTTGGCCATGCTCCTTTTGATGCCAACACTGAAAGAATAAATAACAGCAATCACACTTAGTGTTTCATAGCTGGAAGACTTTTCTCCCTTGGACCTGTGTACCTCCATTGAGAGGAAAGCGGATGAGAGGACTAAACCTTGCTCTCAGGGAAATCAGCAGCAAAAATCCCACTAGCTAAGCCAGGAGCACCATCCATGAAACGTGCTCCTGACCCACTGGACCTGACCAGATTTGGCCCAATGAGTCAATGGGCCTGATCCAGAAGGTCCTTAGTTTTGAAGTGGGAAGTATGTTTCAAAGTAAAAGCTCTGCAAATATCTTCACGCTGGCTTCCTGCTCTCTGCCACTAGTCATCCTTGTCGGCATGTTTACACTTCCCCTTGCCTGCGGTCTCTTTATCAGGCAATGGGTTTGTTCTTCGTCTAGTATAAAGTAAGTGAGCGTGGGTTTCGCACACACACATACTGCACACATGCAGCATGCTCAGGATGACACAGACGAGTACAGTATTGAGCATTTTCATCTTGTTTCTTCACACCACTTTTGGGGAAAGTGGTTGCACATCAGCAGATGGTGATGGTGAGTCATTTCATCTTCATCTTTCCACTGTGTATGATCTTGAAAAACCTGAGTTAAGAGCTCCAAAATGCAACTGCTGGGTTAAATGTGCTAGTGTTTTAGTCTCCAGTCTCTTTCTTTTAGTGCCAGTACCTGAGACGGATGTGGAGCTGGAGGATACCTATTTAATTTAAGTCCCAAGTCTGCTGTCCTTATAATGTCCAAATTTGTATGAAATGAGGGAGACTATAGCTGTATGCAGAGGGCATGCAAGATCAGACCTGTTAATCCTCTCTTGTTGTATCTAGTGTTCATGTGAGGAGTTATGCCTGGGAGAGGGGAACCGCTTCACTCTTCTGCAGTCCATGGTCACTCTGAGCTGCCATCAGAGAGGGGTGAGGTTATGGCTTCTCTTGCTCTTGGCAGTTTCCTCCAAAGAAAATGTTTTAATGTACCTCAAACTTGGCCAAAACTGTTCTACTTCAAAAGCCAAACTTTTTCTCTTTTTCTTTAAGCAATTGCATAAGGTAGATCCGGGGGATAGTCCCAGTCTACCTCGTAGTATGGCTGAAGCAGCAACTCAACCAGGGGGTTCTCACAGCCCATCACTAAGAACATTCATCCCTTACTCAGCATATAATTATACATTAATTCAACAGTTTAAATTTAGGCTTATTGTAGATTTCATTATCTCATTTAGAGAAGTGAAAATTATTTAGCAGCATCAAAATCAAAAATCAAAACATAAAGAGCAGCAATAAAACCATTGTTTCAATCTGCTGTCCCTTTTCTCAAAAGGGACCTGAAAAATCAGATTTACAGATTCAGTCCCAGATCTGTTAAACTCTTACTTGTCTAATACTAAACAAACAGCAGTGACAGAGCTTGTTGCATGTGCCTGAAGAACGTGGGCAGTTGCTCAGTTACTGGTAGTTTTAGGGCTCCGTTGTTTGGGAACAAAAGAGGTTTTTGGGGTTTAGGAAGATAATGGCTGTGTTCCTATGCTATCTCACAGATAGGGAATCTCATTTTCCCTTGTGTGTCATGTATTATAAGAAGTGTGTATGTACACGTATGAACACACATACATATCTACATAGATAGGATATACATGATAAGATTTTTAGTTAGAAAAAACAGAGTGGCTCAGAACTGCATCTAACATCGTTGTTTTTTCTATTTGCTTTTTATTTATACAATCTGCAGCTGTTTAGAGCCAGCTTTGGCAAGCAGCTACAGTGGTGAATGGTCAATATTAGTGATTTATCACTGGTGTCAGTGAAATGTTCAGGGCTTCCCAAAAGTAGATATGAGCAGACCTTTCCTTGTTTTGTCACTACCTTCCAGTAAACGATAATTTGCTTAGAATTAAAGACAAACAGATTCAGAAAAACCCCACTGAGTAATTAGAAGCTTTTATGATTTCTTTATGAGTCTCGTGGGTTTAGCCAACAAATTAAACAATCCAGGGTAAAATCACCCGTGATGGATGTTTGGCTTTCACTCTTCGCCTTTCCGACTCGCCCTGCATCCTGGCAAAGTGCCACCAGCCGACGCAGGCATGAGCTCACCCCTTCTTATGGGCAGAGGAGGGAAAAGTTCAATGCATCATTTGCCTTCATCTCCTCCTCCTTTCATAGCAGCAGACTGCCTCCCAAGCACTGTCCCCCAACCTGGCAGAAGTGGTGGAGATCCCCAAAAGCCCTAAGAGAGCTACAAGCAGAGCTAAGAAGGGGCAGCCACGGAGGCACAGGAGGGCACGGGCCGGGGAGCAGGAGACAGCAGGCTGTGGGGTCTCATGGGCAGGACGGCTGGCTTCAGTGGTCCTCCTACCCGGATTTGTATGGTTTGTCCAACCCACATCAAAACTGTTGTGATTAAAACACATTCTGCCTGAATCAGATCAGCACTAGAGATTTTGCTTTACTCTGTCCATGGAGACAGTCACTTCATTGACTTTGGAAATTCAGTCTGCTTAGCAGTGCCTTTGGTTTCATGTGGTGGTGTTAGTCCCGGTGGCTTCAGAGCTTAAAGCTGAAGCATGTCCATAGCCTCTGCTAACACTCTTCTCTTGGTAAAGGCTCATTAGATTCCTGCTGTGATTTGAACCATCCTGCTGGGTGTTGACCAAACCCAAGAGACAACCATTTTTATGAAGGACCTGCCATGGTTGTAGCTACAAGAGCAGTTTTTTTTTCCCACTAGAATGCCCCTGCCTGGTAGGTCTCTGCCTGGTCTGGGCTTCTCAAGGAAAAAATTAAAATCTTGTAAACTTTTGATTGTGTAAACAGCCCTTAGCAGTGTGAGTCACGTTGGACTCATCAAAACCATTTACATAGCAAACACATTCGTGCATGGTGGTTCTGAGGTTCAGGGAAGAATTGTAACTGAGGCTACATGCATATTTATGTCAGACAAAAACATTTCTGTCAGCGTATGGAGAAACCATACCAGAAAAAGCATTTCAAATTGCTTACTTAACACCATTCGTGAGGTTTAATTATCATATATTCTATGGTTAGGATGTTATTTCCATGAATAAGGAACCACGTAAGCACAATGTGAAAGTTCAGTGTCAAAGAGGTAAAGTCAGCTTTCCTTCCAGTGCGACACCAAAGGTGCACTACGCCAGTTAAACATTCAATGGCTTTTTGAACTGCAAGACAAAACCTTTTTCTTTCTTTTCATTTTGCAGTCAGCCTGATAGAGAATAAATTAAAATTTCTGTCACTTTTCAGCAAAGCAGTAGTGGACAGCTGAAACATTTTTTCTGATATGCCATTTATTAATATGATGAATACCAGTTTTGTGTGTCTATACAAAATCTGGTATATGTAGTTTGCATATACAGAGAGCACCAAGCAGTCTCTCTGTCTTATATAAAGGAAGATCAGTCATCCTAATTCATAAGTTTTAATGTTGTCTTGAGGTAGCTATGAGTATAAATAAGCCAGTCTCCTGGTAGTTGCAGGTAAAGTCTTAGAGAGGCATAAAATATCACATACCTGTGCATGTGAGCTTTGGGTGTATCTATCTATATAAAATATGGGTGTTTTTCCATTTTATGCAGATTCATTTCAGCTTACTTGTTATACCCTGAATTTTGAATATATGTATACCTATACGCACACACTTTTACCCTCAAATATGTAACTTTACGTAATATACATTTCTGTACATATAGATCTGCCCACATGGCTCAGGGCTGTGTTGGTCAAGACTCTCACCTGTGTGAAACTGCTGCAGGGCTTGTTCTAGGGTTGTGCTGACCTCTACGTCTCTCTCTTGAATGTGATGGTCAAATAGAGTGGCTTTGTACAGCACCTGCTTTGTCTCTGTCTGTGTGCACAGGTTATTCCCTCAAAGCAGCAGCACTGGTGGAAGACACCGCATTTCGTTGTCCCTCAGGGAGAGCTGGGCTCCCCTTGGGACAGACCCCACCAGAGCAATAATTGCTTCTTAGCACTGGTTGTTCATGGTGGCAAATGGCCACTAAATCTCAGCTCGGGGGATAGATCTGCCTCTGGTTTCTGGATTAGTGCAGCATCAGATGCTCCTGTCCCTGCTGCTGCCCACCACCACAGGTGCTGGTAGCAGCAGCCCCCTTCCTAGCCCCTGCGCGCACTGCTTTTGCATTTTTCTCTGAATTCCTGACTGACTTCTGAATTTCTTCTCTTACTCAAAAAACAACTCCAGATGCACCTCAGCTCTGAGGTCAGGAGGAAGTGCTGCTGATAGTGACCCTGTGGAGTGATGCTCTTGACCTACATTTTAAATCAATCAAACAACTCTCCCCTGCTTTCTCCCTGCTGTCAAACCATGACCATTTTGGATCTTCAGATGTGCTCCCATGCTAGACAAGGTCTGGGTCTCCCTGTACGCTGGCAGGATTGGCCAGGGATCATAGGACGTCACCGGCAGGACTATGAATCATGGTATCCAAGTAGCTGGTCACCCCTCAGTGATCCAATTCACCTGGGTGACAGCAGAGATGACCATCATTTTCTCTGGGAGGGATTTTCCATTGGAAATGTTTCCACAGGCGTTTCCCCACACTGTTTGTGAGTGTGAGTCACTGATATCCCCGGAGCAGCCAAGGTCTTGTTCTTGCTGTGGCAGGCGCCCCGCATGGCAAGGGTATGACTGAGGAGTGGGTAGGAGAGGACCAAGCAGGGGATCGGGAACAGTCCCTGGACACGGGGAAGAGGGTTATGTATCATCACAGCCACCCTTAACCACCTGTAAAAGGAGACAGAGGCATTGCTGCCCGCAGGATCTGCTCAAGGGGTCATGGCAATAACCCTTTCCCTGTATGGCAATAACCCTTTCCCTGTCCGCTTGGCTACAGTGGGTGAAATTTCATGAAATGAGGCTGAACTGGCAGTTTCCGCCAGAGAGGACTCCTCTCAGAAGCATCAGTTTTTGCTTCACTGACCTCATACCTGCCAAGTGTAGGACTTGAGACATACACTCTTAGTCAAATCGTGATTGTTTTATTAGTCATTGAAGCAAATTTGCAGGAAGCCATGCATTCTGGCAGAAAGTCTGAGCTTTCCCTCTTGAGACCAAATTTGTGACATTTCAGAAAACTTTGCAGTACAATCAAAATGGGGCTTGATTGCCTCATGACACAGAAATAGTCTTGCTTTCCTAAAACCACCCATATAATTTTCCAGTCTTCTCAGGAACCTGGTGACAGGCCAGACCTTCACAGCACGGGCAGGGGCAGAGCAGGGACAGGAGATGCTGCTCGGGCGCTCTCAGCCATCTCAGTGCAGCTGGTCCTGATGCAGGCAGAGCAATGACAACGTGCTGAGCGTGCATCCTCAGCTGTGGGTCTGCCACTTTGGAGCTACAAGGTGTTTGATATACTTTCAGGCTGTCCTGGCTGAAATTCCCATACAAATAACTCCGTTGAAACTAGCCCTTGCTCTTGAGCAGACATTAGCCTTGAGTATCAGCCCCAGACACCTCTGGAAGTAACCATGTAGAGTATATCCAGTGCATGTTTCTGTTCCATTTATTTTCAAGACTTGAATATTCTGCTTTTCAACAGGCATCATGAACATGTCTTGCTCCCCTTCGCATGCTGTCCTGGTTTCGGCTGGGATAGAGTTAATTTTCTTCCTAGTAGCTGGTACAGTGCTGTGTTTTGGATTTAGGATGAGAACAATGTTGATAACACACCGATGTTTTAGTTGTTGCTAAGCAGTGCTTACACTAGCCAAGGACTTTTCAGCTTCCCATGCTCTACCGACTGAGAAGGCTGGAGGTGCACAAGAAGCTGGGAGGGGGCAGAACCAGGACAGCTGACCCAAACTGGCCAAAGGGACCTTCCATACCATGTGACGTCATGCTCAGTACATAACCTGGGGAAAGCTGGCCGGGGGGGCCGCTGCT